GAACAGGTTTGTATATCTTGGAAGTATTATCTATAGAAATTTAGTGTTTCACTTTACTAATTCATTTACTGAAAACTGAATGAACTTTATAGGATGGCATCAGAAGGAAAAAGAACGGCAGATCTGGTTTTATTGGATGAAAATTTGGTAAAAGATCTTTGGAATAATCAGCTTTATGTACATCCTCATTCTAAGGCAGCATTAAGCATGGCTATCAGCAATGATAGCCATTTTCTTTCTGCCCAGGTTTTTCTCGCGTTATATTTTGAACTTGATTTATTAATTAATGAACCGCTGAGCAACAAGTGTATAATTTAGAATGTGCATAAGAAAATCATTTTCTTATATTATTGTTGTCACTGAAACACTTATTCAAAACTGCGAAGTTCCACGTATGAAAACATATTGACCATTCTGTGTAGTTGATGAAATGTTAGCAGTGAATGGAAGGAACTATCACAAATGATTTCATTCGTTCTATTTCAAAGTTTCATTGTAAAGAACTTAAATCGCCAAAGGAACTCTTTATTTCAGCATATAATGGATTATAGTTTACTTGTTGGAGTAGATGAAACGAACAGCGAGTTAATTCTTGGTATCGTGGATTACATGCGTACCTATACGCTTGATAAGAAATTGGAAAGTTGGGTAAAAATCGTGGCAATACCTGGTGCACACTTACCGACTGTAATTTCTCCAGAAATGTACTGCACACGATTCTTCGATGCTATTGACACATATTTTCCAGTTGCACCAGATCAGTGGACTGGATTTGGTTCAGCCTTGTCCTCTTCTGACTGTTAAAAACAGCACAATTTAATTCAAGGAAGGGAGAAGGGGAAAGAAAAAGTCAGGTGAGCAAGAAAAAGGAGAAGGATTCCAGAGTGGTAGATAAACTCAAAAGGAATGAATCCAAGTTATTTTTCTTATTCCAGAGAGGAAGGACGAACATTTAGTTTATTCCTAGTAGATATATTGGTATCTGATGCAGCTTTTTCGTTCATTTCTGAGGACTTCACGCTTTTTAGCTTTGTTTGTGGAAATTTCACAGGTCTTTGTTGTGCATAGGAAACAATGGGAGTGTTTTCCAACCTTCCGTCCATTTTATGACTTTCGTTTTGACCTATTTCTGCAAATATGCATTAGCTCAAAATTCAAAACTATTCTTGAGCTGTACTTGCCGGACGCCACTTAATGACAATCATTTTGGAGCAGAACTCGATTTTATCTCACTGCCGAATGACTGTTGTCTTCTACGAGATAAGTCATTTTTGTTCATCAAATGGAAGGTTTCTGAATCAAAAGAAACACAGAAACATGTTAACACCCATGTTTATCCGAAATTTTCGGAATTTCTTGCATATTTGATTTTGTTTGACTTTGATATCTTTTGAAGTAAGAAGTGTTTATACATTGATTTGTAACTGAAGAATAAGTAATAACTGGTCCTGAAACACTGGTCAAGTCTGCACTATTGTATATTTTTTGAATGTGTAGGGTATAAAAATCTCCATAACCTATTCGCTGTATTTCAAACATTTTACGGTAGTTTATTCCGCATTCAATGCATGAAACACTGTTTGTAAAATAAAGGATGGATGATGCCGCTTTAATTTACTACCGAACTTCCCATAAATTACTAGGAGTACATGAGTGCGGTTGTCCGCCCATCACCTCTGCAATGTTGTACTGATTACACCGTCCACGTAGCATAGGATATGTAATTTGCATGCCTGTATTTTACGCTGCTGTGCGATGAAGCGTGAAAACCTGTGTACACGGGTTGTCCTCTGTAGGCCGTCATATGTTTGCAGAGTTTTTTATCCGGTGTTTTGTAACATTATGTGGTAATATTGTATTACAGGGAATTGGCGGTCGTACTGTTCCACTTATCAAACAACCACAAAAATGGATCGTTACCGAAGGAGAAGAGTGAGTTTGTTGGTTACTATAAAGTAAAGGACTATAAGTGGTCAATTAATTTTGCGCTTAGTCAGTGCTTGATGTCGTACGTATTGTTGTCTTTTATTTATCTGAAACAGTTTGGATGGTGGAAGTCAATATTAAGGTTAGATATTGCTCAGAGTTCCAAATTTTACCTAATTTAAGAAAGAAGATGAAGAAGCGGAATTATCAAAAGCTTATGAACAGTTCCGTGAAGCATTCGAAGATGGCACGTCGATCGCCAGTAAATCATTTGTACGCGCTGCTGTAGTTAATGCGAACAAAGTGATGGAAGGTAAATAGTGGAAGAAATTATCCTTTTCTTCTGATGTAAATTGAAGGGATGTTGTTTAGTGAATCTAGCTACAACGTTTGAAACGCGGCTTGATAAATAGAGTCAAGCTGTACTTTTACAGATATAAGTTCTAAACCGTCTATCTACAATCCAAAAATTGAACTTGCAAAAAAAGCTTCGGTTGTACCAAATTCATTTGAACAAGCAAAAAGGATCGCCGAAGAAAAAGCGAAACGTATGATGGAGGAAGCACGAAAAGCAAATTTAACAACAACTCGGCCGCCTCGACCAGGAAAAGCACAGCAGAAAAGTAGAACAAGTAATTTGGAAGCCTTCAAAGAGGAGTTGAAAAGGTATAAACCTTCTTTTGGTTTTTGAAAATGGAAGAAGTATACCAGTAGCATGTTGAAAGCATGTTATTGAAAGCATGCTATCTACGAAGAATATATGCATTAAAACATTTTCGAATTTCGAAAATGTTTCCACTGTCAAATCTCACCAGGATCTGTGTGAAATTTCTTTTTTAGTATGCAAGAAGAGCGGGAACAACGAAGACATTTACGATCGCAAATGGAACAGATGGGAATGGAAAAAGAAGCACTAGATCGTATTGCACCACTTATTGATAATCCGTATTTGCATGGAACTGGGGAATATGATAATGACCCAAATACAACTAATATTTACCTTTCAAATTTGTCACTTGAGGTAGAGAACTTTTTCAGACATTGTTTTTGCTTAGAACCATTCTTGTCATTTTTTGAAGGAGTAGTAAGTTTTGAATGATCGTAATCTTTTCATTGTACCATAAATCGATATTCTATCCTGATAGTATTCAGTTGTTTTCGTTGTAGATAAAAATTGAGGATTTATACAATACCTTCGGCACTTTTGGACCGTTGGCATCCGCGAAAATTTTATATCCTCGTGAAGAAGATCGCAAGCGCGAGCACTTATGCGGTTTCATAGCTTTCATGATTCGTAAGGATACTGATCGTGCCATTCAGGGAATGCAGGGTAAATATATCAGAGGATCCGAAGTGCGGATGTCTCTTGCAAAACCAGTCAGCATACCACCACAGGTCTGTAGTTTATCTGATCATGACTGCTGCATTTCTGATCCAAATATATTGAAAAATTCGTGCTTTATTCATCAGGATTGTCAGTATACTTTTTTTTTTTAATTTATAATAAATCCGGTTGCCCGATTATCTTCGTTCAAATTCTAGCCGATTTATGTGCCGCCTGCTTTGTTGGAATTTGCCATGCCGGATCCTCCTACTGGTTTACCATTTAATGCCAAACCACGGAAGTGTGATTTGGATTCACTGTTAAAGAAATGTCCATTGCCTCGTCTTGGTACTTCGCTTCCTGAATCCGGTCACGGTTTGGAGGAGTATCAAAAGGTATGATAACTTTCATTTTTTGCAACTGAATTTTGGCAACCAACTAATTTTTAATTCCTGTCGTCTTATATTTCAAAAATATGATTCGAAATTTTCAGTCTGTGATACACATTTAAGCAAGTCTAAATTCCATACTTCTTAGTAAAACGTAGAAAGCACCTAATGACGTCAAATCATTAAAACATTTTCTGTTCTGTAGATGCTCAGGAACGCCGTCGTGCGGGTAGTGGTCCCTACAGAAAGGTACTACTTGATTCTATTATCATTATTTTGCATTCTTCTATTCAAGCTCTTTGGTTCGTCCATTTTGTCGATATGATTTCGCACGGCAAAGCAGTGAATCACAAACTTGGAGCTGTTTCTTAGCATCTCCAACGAGTTTTTGCAGATTTTTTGAAGCAACAGCCTTTTTTCTTTTTTTTTTTTTTTTTTTTTTTTGTTGGGGAGATTTCTCTAGCCGTAACTAGAATTAAGAGGAATTATTGTTGAATTTGGATCCAAATGTGATGGGAAGTATAATTCGAAGATCCGAAATAATTTTTGCTTATTATTACGAAATTTTCTTAGTATAGTAATATATGAAGTTGGAAAACTGATTTTTCGTAGATAATGATATAATAATTGATTTCATAATGCATTTGACTTCGTAAATCATTGCGTTTCCATATGCTGATGAATTAAATAATGCATTTACATAGTTTTGAAAACGCGGGACTTTTATTGAGTGCTGTCACTAACCTGTTTTAAAAGAATAATGAACAAAGTTTGACTCGAAACGCGCTTGTGTTCCTCAATAATTCAGTAGAGCTACATATCCTTATTCTCGTTTGCCACGCATATTTTTGGCAATTACATACTGCGGTCAACTTTTTCTAAATGGAGTTACTCATCAATGAAGTTACTCATCGAAACACAAGGACAGTTTTCCCAATGACTTCAACCTCGAGCTTTACTCGAAATACTGTTGTTTGTTTTCAGAAGTTTGTTGGTGTTAATCCACCGGACTATCGAGTTTTTGGTGCGTGAAGGTCCGCTGTTCGAAGCAATGTTAATGGGTCGAGAACGACATAACCCTGTATATCGGTATGTTTTCCATAGTGGCAAGAAGTATTTTATGGCTTCTATTTTTCGAGAAAGCATCTCCAAAATTTAAATAATTCGCATGGCTTTCAAGGTTTCTTTTCGATAATCACCATCCAGCACACGTTTATTATCGATGGAAATTGTATTCCATACTACAAGGTGAAACACCACAAACTTGGCGCTTGCAGAAGTTTCGAATGTTTGATGAAGGTAGCTGGTGGCAGCCACCACCTCACAATATTCTAACTGGTGGTATGCCCGAATGCTTATATCATACTGCTTTTGATGGTGGTTTGCCAGCTGAAAGACCTATAGTAAGTATTCTTATTCAGAACTTTACAGAATCTTCCTGTTGATAGAATCAAGTTCATTGGTAGAGTATTGCTACGCAATTTTTTGAATTTCAAAAATTTTTGAAATGCCTAGAAGTCGAAAAACTCCCTCAAGTAATACTTTCTGTGATATTTCTTTGTTTTTATTTGTTTGTTATATGTTCATCTGTAGGTTAAATCCCGGAAAAGGAAATACAGCAGCAGCGAGGACGAAGAAGAAGACAGAAAAGAAGTTAAAACGAAATGGCGAGGAGTGCTTAGTACTGCTGAGAGAGATGAGCTTGAGGTTTCATTGATTTACTCATCTCTCAATCGTTTTCGCGCATTCATTTATTTCTTAAATAAAACAGAAGAATTGATGAATGAGTTTCTAGGATATACTCCGTGGACTCCTTCCTGAGAAATCTTCCGTGGCAGACGCAATGGTTTGGTGTGTGGAACATGCCACATGTGCCAAAGAGATCTGTCAGTGCTTACACGAATCACTGACTATTGATGAAACACCGCTGCACAAAAAGGTGTTTTATATCTCGTTTTTTTTTTCTTATAAAAAATCCCATTTCAGATACCTGCGCATCTCTACAGTTATTACTCATCAGCTTTCGCTCTTCAGATTCATGTAGTATCGCTTGAATTTTAATATTATTTTGAAATAGCTCTCAGGTTTTCTACGGTCATGTCATAAATGTCTTGGAAATGCGGAAAGATTTTTGTTTGTTTTTTTTTCAGCTCCTGTCAACCTTGAAAAACCAGGCTTAGATCTTAAACAGATTTTAACAAATTAATTGTTCCTGCATTTCATTATTTCGTGATGTTTCTTTAAAAATCTTTCATGCTTCTAATTTGAAGTTAGATGGTTTTAAATTAGAATTTTTCGGCGAAGATAACTTTTAATTAAAATAAATACACGAGTTAACATGCGCTAATTCTACTTTTCTTAGATTGCTAGATTGTATTTGGTTTCTGATATACTGGCAAACTGTGCTGCCCGAGTTCGAGATGTGTTTTATTATAGGCAGTATATTGGCGACTTAATGCCCGAGATTTTTAGGGTATTTATGATGTTATATTTTCGAAGTATAGTGGAAATAAAAGTTCATATATAAATTTAATGCAATTTTCTCTTTTTTTAATCTGAAGGCTTAGTGACCTTCTATAATAAATTGACCCATTGCTTTTCAGGAACTCAATAAAACTTATGAAAAAATTTCGGCGCGCTTGAAAGCTGAACAATTCAAGCAACGAGTGATGTTATGCTTTCGCACTTGGGAAGATAATTCAATTTATCCAACTGATTTCCTTATTCAACTACAAAATGTCTTCTTGGGCCTTGCGGTTGTTTCATATTTTTGCTACGAATTTACATTTCTCTTTTGTATACAGCAATATAGATGCCTGTTTTCTCGTTGCATGTAGAGCACTACCAAATTCAATGTTAACTACTTGATTTCTTTCTCTACATTTCTTTTTGAGTTGTCGACTCAGTGTTTTATTTATGTTTGTATCTTTATCAGATTTGATGTCATTTAGAAAGAAGATGAAGGATCAGAGGATGATATCGATGGTGCTCCAATCGAGGAAGGTCCAGAAGAAACAATTTTAAAGAAGGAATCGATTTTTGAAGAGGAAGATATTGATGGCGTACCTATTGAAGAAGACACTTTAGAAACACAACCAAAGAAAGCAGCAACATTTAAGCGAAGCCAATGGGATGTTGTGAGTCTAACATCGTGGTTTCATTATTTTTGACCACTATTAAGGACTACGCTTTTTTTTTTTGGCTCTTCATTCTAGTATTCGAGGGAGTTTTGTTTTTTATGAAGAATGTGTGGGGTGTTTTAGGTAGATCCATCAGTTGTTGCAAGTCAAGCTGTAACTACTAGCAAATGGGACTTACTGGAAAATGGTAAAGATGATGAGACAGTAATGGGGAAAATTGATCAAGAAGATGACATTGATGGTGCTCCAATTGACGATGATAAGAATGGAAGTGAAGATGGAGAATGTCCGGATGAAGACGATGATGACAAGTTTGCTCTTTTCTTTTTTAAAGTCTCTTTCCAGCTGATCAGCATGTTCGTTTTTGCTTAATACACCTTTCCGTTCATTATTGTATTCTTCGTACAGCTAATTTAATACATTTCCCTCTACTATAGTATCTCTAAAGAAAGATTCACTGACTTTGTTCAGGGTGACATTTGTTTTTTTTTTTTTTAACTTTGAAGGACTACTTTCTCTTTAATTTGCAGAACTACTTCAACTTTGCAACAATCCTTAAGTTCGTCTGCTGCACGCCTTGATGAAGAGAGGCGAAAGATTCTACGTGAAATCGAGGTATTTTTTATTAAGTGGATAGGATTAAATCGCTTTTATATTAGTTCCGGCCATTCTTTTGGAACAATTTACATTTCCGTTTCAGCTTGTTCAGAATTAACTTGATTTGTTACTAAAACGAAGTATCCTTTATAGGTGAAAGTAGTCAAATATCAGGACGAACTGGAATCTCAACGGTGTGAAGACATTACAGCTCAGGTAGAAAAATATCGTGCTTCGCTGCTGAAACAGATGGAAGAAAAGTTGGATGCACTGAACGAACAGAAAGACAAAAAGAAGAAAAAAGGAATAAAAAGGTAATGATTGATTGATTCTGCTCATATATTTTTTTGAATGTGCTTTCATTATAATGCAATTTTTTTTCAGACTTTTTTTTTTGCATTTGCAATATGGTCTCGCCTAGTTCTGCTATAGATAACTTTTCTTATATCTGTCCAAAGAGAAAATGTGGATCAGCACCATATAGAAAGATTCCATCCCGGAAAGGATTCATAATTCATCCGTTCATCCAATCGAAAGCTCCTGGTCTCTTAGAAATAGATTTTGCCTTCCTTGATTTCTAACTTTTGTGAAAAAGAAACGAGATTAAACTCATATTTCTCTGTGACAAACAAAATGTATTTAATTTGAGGTCAAGAAGTAGAAAACGGGAAGACAAAAAAGATGATAAAGGTACTCGAGAAAGAGAACGTGAAAGAAGCAAAGGTGAGATCGATCGAAATGAACGGACACGAGACAGAGATCGGGTACTTCATATTTTCTAAAATTTCCTTTTTGTTTTATCTTTCAAATTCCAAAAATAACTACATAAAAAGTCTTTCAAGCTTTTTAAAAAAGCTTGGACTTTTTATGTAATTTTTACTAACACTGCTTAAATGGTGCTAAGAAATCAAGCTCTTCAGAACATCATTGTTTCATTTTTAATGCATAAATGTTTGCGTAATCTGGAACGATTCATGTAAGTTTTTGATCCAGTATTTTGTAAACATGAGAAGAAGTTACAGTGAAATACTGCTCGTATGCACCCTATAAAATTTGTTTCTTGTAGGAGAGAGGTCGTGAGAGGGGGCGTGAACGTGACAGATCAAGATCGCGGTCGAAGTAAGTTTAAATTAATAGAAGGCGAAATTAAGTTTTTCGTAGCTGTGGAAGATCGGCGTTATTTTCTTTTCATTAACAATATGATGGGGGATTTGAAGATAGAAAATTATGATAACTTCTCACTATTCGCTATTGTAACTTATCGGTGTATTTGTTTTGACATATTACCGTTATATTGCAGGGAAAGACGAACGTTGAGAAGAGAGCGCAGTCCAGAGAGAAGGAAGCGTTAATTGTTCGTACTTATTCATTTTTATATTTATGTATTTGCCCCCGTTTTCTTTTTGTATTTCAATTGAGGTTCTTTTGATTTACATTTACATCTGCCTTACACGAATAAAGAGCAGTCTTGCATACTTGTACAGAAAAAAATTACAATTATTTTACTGACTTCTTTTTTTACCTCGGGTAAATTGAGAATGACATTGATTTCTATTTATCGTCAAAGATGTAGGGAGAAGTGTAATGCTCTCCCTTTATAAAGGAGGGGGTAAATGTTTCAAGCGCTATGCTGCCAACAGATCTTATTTATTTTCACAATAACCTCAAGGAAAATTATTCATTCTCACATAAAGCTGTACTTTTACTATCCTGTGATTATTTGTATCTCTCGTACTTGCTACTTCTGTTGCTGTTGTTAGTAGCCTAAATGCAGTTTATTTGGCTTATGTATTTGCAGTGGTGCAGTTTTTTCTTATTTTCCAAATATATTGTTACAACGTTAATTTCCGGTTCGCATTACCGTGTTGTTTTTTAAATGATCATTTCTGTGAAAGTAAATTAAGATAACTCGGTAAACTGAAGACCGAATTAGGCATTCCTTAGATTTGTAATACAGGTTTTGGAAAATATCTCGCAAATATGCAGATTTAGTTAACTGAGATAGTGTCATCAGGATGTCTCCTTCGCTATCGAAAAAGTCGAGAATATCCTCCCTGGTTGCTTAGGTAGGAAGCGGCAGAAATAAAATAAAATGTTGAGTGGCATATATTCTGATAACATCAAAGTTCTATAGTAAGTGTTGTAATTCCCTCTTATTAAAATTTTGATGTTGATGTTGGGAGAAGGCAGGAAATGGTTATATTGAGATTACTCAAGTAATTAATGACGAGGCTATTGATGATTTTTCTCCAGGCTACTGTCATATTGGAAAATTTTTAAAGGATGGATAATCATTTCTTTAATCATTAAAATCATTTTCTAATCATTTCCTATTAATCATTTCTTTTATTTTAAACTTTCTAGACCCAGTTTCCCTACATTGCCCTTGAGAATTCGTGTAGTGCATTAACTGAGAAATGCGATGACCAGGAGGTTTATGACAATTCTGGATTCCACATATCTTCATGGGTCCGCAATTCTCGGTCACGGATCGAAGGCCATGGATGGGTTACGTAATGTTGATGGGAAGTAAAGTGACTGACAAGTTGACTAACAAGTTCGTCGCAAATCTGAAGAGGAAATCATCTGAAATACATCACGGTGATTTCACAGCAAGACATTCTGATCGACTACTGATCTTGCTGAGATGGATGACACGAAATGGAAGTTATTCGTTATTAAAATTCAAGAGAGAAAACACTATTTGGATTCCTTTCGCATTAATGGAGAACAGGGTCAGAATAAGATGTAGCTTCGATTACACTCAATGACAAGCATTCTTGGTTGCTATGCATGCATAGTGCTGAAAGTATATATCAGTCAATTCATTCGTGAATGTTTGAGGAGATTTGAATAGATTGTAAATAGTCGTTCCTTCCTTCCTATAAGGAGGATAACTTTTTGCAAATTTCTCTACACACATTTGCATCTTTTATCAAAAAGTGCATAATGAAATTTTATCGAATTCATCGTTCATACTGACACATTAGGGAGGGATGAGCGATGTCCTTGAACATCACATCAACATCAGTATTGACAATGTAGGTCATATCTTTATGGGCTATATCGATGAAATCATCCAATCCGTTTCACCTCTTTACTCTCTCCTTATAAAAGTAGAGTTTTTCTACCATTTTACCAATATTTTTATTCAAAGCAGAATTGTTGAAATTAGTTTGAAGAATGAAATACTAAGATTCGATCAAATTTATCACCTTCCAATTTTTTGTTAAAGTAATTAGTTGTCATTGTATCCTTGCTATTTATCTACAAGCCTAAGTGAACAGTATCAGTTAATTCATCCAGTTGTTCTGATCGCTTAATCTGCCTACAGCATGTTGCTCTGTTATTCAACATGAAGATCTTGTTTTGTTGTTATGTTGTATCACTAAACGTCAGCAGCTACGTGTTAAATACGCTTATGACGTACGAACTAAAAAATTCGATTAATATATTATCCCCAAGTATGGCATAATTCCAGAGTTTCGAAAAGGTAAATGATGAAATTGCTGTAGTAGACGCTTCATTGTGTTTCATACCATTCGTGAATTGATGTCCAATGAACTGTAGAGGAGATCTAAAATGTAAAAGATATTTTTGAAGATATTGCTAACAAATTCATTGCGAATGGTAGCAATCGCTTCTAATATTAACTTTGAAAGGACCAAAAGCCAGTGCAAATTGAAATAAAACGGTTTATACTTTAAATTAGGAACCAGTTTCAATGTTTCTTCAATGTTTGGGTATAACAGTTTTCTATCCATACCAGGAACTATGAAACTGGACGAGTTTTAAATAATTTTTAGAAATCCCTACTTTTAGACAATCCTGCCTTTCATTCCCCTATCTTTACTATCATTTATTTAACACAGAATGGTAATTTCGATACCGCTTATTTCATAAATTTCCTAGCTATTTAGTTCTCTGTTTATTTATCTCATCAATACTCATTTTCAAGAAATAATCAAGAAATTATGTCCAAATGTAGGTATGAATAGTAATGCGGATTACGGGCTTCTGACCGCAAACGATATTCACAGATATTTTACTACAATTTGCTACATCGAACCACCATATAGTTCACGAAGGTTCACAGCAATGCAAAGTATACATGCATATTTAATTAATTATTTCGTATTTAATTCCCGCTGTGTTACCGTTCATCTCTTTCTTAAATTTCTCAACTGTCATTCTAAAGAATCGTATATACAATGAGACAATATAAGTGCCTTCCTTTATCCAGATTTATTTCATATGTGCAATTTAATCCTCACAGATGTATAGGAAAATTTATTTTTGTAACTTATTATTAAGCTTGAAAATTTGTACCCTTTTTTCAAAACTGTTATTATTTATTACATTACCACAATAGAAAATTAACCTGAAAATGACTCATTCTTGTATATTGTTTGTTCTAAAAATAGTGTAGAAGTAGTGACTTTTGACTTTTGCCATTTCTAATTTTAGATTTTAGTATTTATGATTTTTTATTTCTGTAGATCTGGAAAATCCCGGAGATGATAACTGATCGATCGTTATTTAAAAAGAGCAGTGACTATATGAAAATGATGCAATTGTTCCGCCACGAAAATTTATTTTGATTCTAACTCTAATTTTAACTCTTTCTTGTTTAAGCATTTTTGTCATTCATAAATTGAATAATGAAGCATCTCTCTTCCGATGATTATTTAAGGGTTAAGGTTGAGATGAACACTTTTTTGGTCGATAAATCTTAAATTTCGACACTTTTTCAAGTAAATCTTCCTTAAATTATTCAAGTGCGGAAAATTTGCTGGGCACATAAGCAGCAAATTTCTGGGTTTTCGGGAAAGATGCCGAATGGTGTAGGTATACCGAGTGAAATCAACGTACCGCAACTATTTTCGGATGTATCGCGTACTTTAAATGGATTCAAAAATCTGTTCATTCCATCACCAAGAACTTCTGGAACAGAAATGCCAGCACATTATGATATCCCTTCTTTATCCAATGCTGTTACTGATATTTTCTCGGGCAATATGTGTTTTAAAGCGTGTGGTATGGAAGACATTCAAATAGCTGCTCAGGTTTGTCATTTATAATTTTCGATTTGCCAGGAAGAAGGAATAAAGTAGTCGAGGATTGTTGAATGTAAGGCGTAAAAATATGAATGATATGAAAGTCATCTAAAATATAGGATATCTTGTTCCTCTATCCAGGTAAATTTTAGTGGACTATATTAGATGAAGAATTGAAAGTAATTTTGGACGTTTCTCGAAACTTCCAAATAATATATTTATTCAATTAGCACTGTGACTTGCTATAACCTCTTAACTATTTTTTGAGAGAGCTGGTGAACTATTCGTAACTGTCCGGTACTGTATCATTACATTAACAATATTCATCATTATTTGTACGATTTTACTCTCCGTGGCACTCGCTTGGTATCTATTCAAGACAACGTTAATTTTTGATGGACGCTCTGGATTACCTATCAAATCAACATTCAATGAAACATCGATGTTCAATCACAGTCGTTATCAGAAAACTCGATCGCTAACTCCAGCGAGAGAAAATATTAGAAACTGATTTTCTGCTGATTTGCTGAATAATTGAATAGCAAACTGCGTCCAGAATTTCTTCATCATAAATTGTAACATTAGTATGGAAGAGTATTAAGTACTGATTTTAGGATCGAGAACGGCAGGGGATATGTGTTTATTAATGGTATTTCATAATGTTATCTTATAATATCGAAAGAGTTTGAATGAATTTAAAGGTAGAAAAGTTTCGCAATTGATCAGGAGAAACTTTATGTTTGCTATGATCTTCTGTCCTCAAATATTAATTTACTTGTACAACATCTTGTCATCAATTAAGATTCATTTAATAGAATGCAATCATTCTCTGTACTCACATGTTATATTAAGCACAATCCATGTCAGCTTGAACTAGGGTGGCATACTCATTAGGCCAGAAGTTTTTTAGTTAAATATTTCAAAAAATATATTTTATTTTGGATGCTATACAACGTTGTTTTGTTTTTCAAATAACATCTGAAACTAATAAATGAATTCATTCTAAAAAAAATCACAAAACCAGATGGTTTGCATGTTAACATTATGCCTTTCTCCACATAATTATAATAAATTAGACAAAAGGAAAAAGAAGTAGAAATATAGATAAACATCCTACCACCAGTTAACATTACTGCTTATTAAAAGAAAATAATTCTGGAAATAATGACGTGTTCATAAAGGAAGCAGTTTCAAAATGTCGTTTCAAAAATTGTACCACTAACATTAATGAGGTCTTGTTCAAAAGACTTTTCATTTTATAACTTATATCAGCAGAAATGTAAACAAATTCTCTTAAACTAATGTTTGCAACATAAGCTAAATTTATTTCACGTTTAAATCCCTGATGTTTGCACCGCCCAAAGCTATTATCAAAACATATATCTTTTCTTTAACAACATGCAAAATTGAAGGTGTAATTTGTTCAGTATGTCATAAAATACTTATTTTAGTTACAACTAAGCAACCTATTGCAAAAATTTGTACGAATTATAGCTGCATAAAATGGTACTGTCAAAAGTTTGAAAGATAATGAGGATAGGCATATACTTTCAGGAAGTAACACATCACCAGAGATCATTTGAACTTTCAAAATGGAGCTCAGTATGATTGAGATCACAATAAACCCATACTAGATCGATTTGTTCTGAACCATTTGTCTTCTTCATTTGACCCATCACCTCCACCTCACACCTTCTTCGAGATAGATCGTCTTTCATGGATATTAATGTGTAAAGTTCATCGGTTGAACTTGATCGGTTTCACAATATTTTTTCTTGAAATCTCAACGAATCTACTATGTCACAGATAACTTGGCTTTCTCTGTGGTCAGGAACTATCACCATTAACATTGTACATTTCACTACTCTCTCCGTAAGAGAGAGTTTCGATTCCTGTGCCCAGAAAATATGCACGGTTTTGTGTCTTCATCAGAAATCGGTAATGCCTCAAAACTTGACTGTGCTTCCGATCTCCAACAGTAATTTCACAATGAAGGCAACTCTCCATCAAGTCTTGAATCACAGTGCAAATTGAATTCTTGAATCACTTAAGGTAAATGTTGGATTTGAACCGTGCAAAATTTAGCTTCAATGCAAAATTGTCAAATTCTTTCGCTAGAATAGTGGTTCCCACCTTTTCTTGACCAGGGACCACTTTGGCTTTTATATTTGTAGCAAGGATTGCAAGGTTTAAAAATAATAAATCCTGTTAATTTGAAAATAAGCTTTAAGCAATAATATTATAATACTAATCAAAGTGTTTAACGTATTAGTTACACTTGAAGTAATATTATAATAAAGAAGGGAGATAATTTTTGATAGCCTTCGAGGCCATATTTTACTTTTCGCAGACTACCGGGAATCACTGCGTTAGACAATTATGAGGCGTAGCGCTCATCCCTAATTGCTTCCAAACAGCTTTTTTTGTTTAGATTAACAAAGAAGACAGAAAGAAGAGAATGTTTTCTGTGCTTTCGCCTGCCTCAGAATTTGATAAAAGTCAATAACTGGTCCACAATTCCATCTTTTTTACCCGAACTCAACTTCCCTTTGGTATTTTCTTTGTTGATCTTTTTCTAAAGCAGATATTGTCCAGTATGCTAGTTCTCATTGCTTATTGAAACAGTTTATGAGATACTGATAGCAGCTATCAACAAACCAAAAATAACCGTACTGGACAATAATAAATAACATCCTTCTTATGCAATTATAGGCCAATAACTCGTAGCAGCAAAGTTAACGGTCCTATCAGCCAAGCATCCACTGAATTCAACGATAAAATTGTTTGCAACTTTCAAATCAATGAAATCTTTATCCTTCTGAATCGAATGTTTTTGATGTACAATTTGTCGATCCTTATACAGACAAATCCTACCAGACACAAAGCTTTTCACTTATATCAATTATTAAATCATTCTCTTTTATTAAACTTTCGGTAAATCTAATCATATGGTAAAGTCAAAATCATTTCGGTAATCAAATCATATTATCGATAATTATGGCAGAAGAGGTAATTGTCTTTCTTTTCATACACACAGCGAAAGGGAAAGTTGTAAAATAAACACTGAATTATGGATGTTCATTGAAGTATCCTTCTATAGAACAGATTTTAAAATTATTCTAAATCATTGTAAAAGACGAATGGAACTAGTACACCATAGATACTTCTGTTTTTGTCGTTGTTATCGAGCATACTGTGAAAAAAAGAAGGTAATACGTGCAGAATACTTGGTCATCTATCCTAGGCAGTGTTTCGGTTTCAATACAATCGAACTTCCATCTCTTTCTTCAGTCTCGCTACGGCAATCGGGCAGTATCACCTCCACATCTCAAAGACATGTGTGTGACAAGCAACATACTTCATCGGCACTGTACTTCGATGGCACGAAAAGCCTTTTTGAGTGTCACACTATCGGGACACTTCAGAGATCACCACAAACCCATCCCAGTAAGAAGCAATCGATCCCAGTAGTGTGATTCATCTTCGAACTATTACTTAAAACAAACACAACACTCATACCCCACGTACAACATGCCATAGACATGCAAGCAGAATTCCCTGTTAAAAGTGGGAGATGACTCGAGTTTCATAATGATATAGATAGAAATTTTGGTGGTCCGCATTGAAGTCGATCTCCACTAAGAAGTGGATTAGAGGGCGGGAAGTGAACATTATGTAGATTGTATGGTTAGCCGTTTCTTGTCACGATGCTCACTTATTTTGAGTTGTTGTGGCATTACGCACAAGCATTATATCCAATGCGGTGGAATCAGATGTGATACGATCGATACGATGTGACCCTGTATGATGCAACTATTCTTTTCCAAATTATTTTTCCGTGCTGATTTTAGGGAACTCTTTCTGCTATTAATTGAACATATCTCCATTTGTGAGTGTTATGTTAGGAGCTGTATGGTAAAGGAAAGAATAGTACTAGTTGAGGTTAAAGTGAATGGTAAAAATTGTTGTAGGTTATAGGTTTAAATTATACAGAAGCTTTCACTTCATACAGCATTTTGCATTTTGGCTTCAGAGCTGTTCAGCACAACGTGCTATTACGGTTGCATTGAACAAGTGAATCACTAAAGCGTAGGATTCGTAGACTATGGGATGCGATATTGTATTTAGAAAGACACGAATTTCAATGTAATCAAACAGGACTGTAATCAATATTTGTATGGTAGAGCAGGTCGAAGGTCCGATCAAGAACGCCAAAGGAGGGTCAAGGACGATTTAGAGAGGGGCTATGATTATTGTTATTGCCTAATGGTTTTCGTGCACATTTCATTTAATGAGGAAGTTTTGAACTGTTTCCATGTGGCACAGATTCAGATATTGGCATGGTTTAGTCAAACTAGGAGTTATGAGATCTAGAATACTCCTCTGAGCAACTTTCATCAGTTGGCTCACATTCTATGTAGTACTTAGCCAGTTAATAATATTGCAATCACTTTTGAATAGAAAAAAGCAGTCGCTTTTGAATATTTTCGTCTGCGGACACTGCATTCTCCCTACTGACCCATATGTTTTATTTCTCTAATATTAAGTAATGTACTATGACACCTTTTGTATTTGATGACCACAGATCCTTCTTTATTACTTTTATATTTGTAGTTATGCTTTTATAGTTATTACTTTCATGTTTTTATAGTTCTCCCTCTTCTATTTTTAATTATTTCATTCCTAGAATTTTTCACATGTCCCTTCCATCGTTGCAATTTCTGCATCAGACTTGATTTTTTGGGAAGTGTTTCACACAGAAAAGTTAGCGGATTGCAGAATACCTGCCTTTCGAAGCCGATTATTAACCATAAGCTGAATGACCAAAAAAAGAAAAATTTTCCAGTTTTATTGGTCTTTCCACTATTTTGGGTGTGTTCATGTTTTTTGACGGTAAAGAAGGCGGTGGAATATATTTTGTGTTTCATGCGCGATTTGGAATATTATGGGCTTTTCTTCATTTGCAGATTTAGCACTTCTTTTCCCTTTTTACTCATGCTTGTTTTTTTTTTTTAATATAAGCATGAACCTCACCTTATTTAGGGAACTCTTCGGACTTAATAAAATAAAGATTTCAGTATTTTACAGCTATGAAATATTTTCTTAAACCTCCAGTCAAGAATTATAGGTTATTGATATTCCATCGGAAATTTAGTCAGAGGATGACTGTCGAGAAAAATAAGTGTTAGGGGTATATTGTGGGTACAAAGTGTGCTCATTTTATACTCCTTGTTTCGTCGAACAAACATTTTTTGGTAATAACTATTTCTGAAATGTGAACGCAGAGTTCTTTTTCTGCCTAGCATTTTTTGGAAATTCCAGCTAACATTTCACTATTATTCCTTAAGTTAAATTGATCTTTTATTATTTTTTATCCTTATTTCTTTGAGAAAGATATATTCTTTTATATGTCTCTTCCCGATATCTCAACTTTCCTTATTCTTCGGGTTTTTCAAATTCTGTTCTGTATTTCAACCCTTTATATGTAATTGTTAAATACATTTTCATTATTCGCTGGTTTGGTTATATTTTGGTTCAGCAAAAAGCACACGAAAGTCTCCAGTTCATATCACCAAAATATAACTTCAGTATTTAATTTTTTTCCCAGCGTCGCATAATATTTATTGTT